GCTGCTTGTAAATTTTGGAGGTTAATCCTTTGTCAGTGGCTTCATTTGCAAATATTTTCTCCCATTCTGAGGGTTGTTTTTTTGTCTTGTTTATGGTTTCCTTTGCTGTGCAAAAGCTCTTAAGTTTAATTAAGTCCCTTTTGTTTGTTTTTATTTCCATTACTCTAGGAGGTGGGTCAGAAAGAATCTTGCTGTGATTTATGTTATAGAGTGTACTGTCTATGTTTTCCTCTAAGAGTTTGATAGTGTCTGGCCTTACATTTAGGTCTTTAATCCATTTTGAGTTTATTTTTGTGTATGGTGATAGGGAGTGTTCTAATTTCATTCTTTTACATGTAGCTGTCCAGTTTTCCTAGCACCACTTATTGAAGAGGCTGTCTTTTCTCCATTGTATATTCTTGCCTCCCTTATCAAAGATAAGGTGACCATATGTGCATGGGTTTATCTCTGGGCTTTCTATCCTGTTCCATTGATCTATATTTCTGTTTTTGTGCCAGCACCATACTGTCTTGATTACTGTAGCTTTGTAGTATAGTCTGAAGTCAGGGAGCCTGATTCCTCCAGCTCCGTTTTTCTTTCTCAAGATTGCTTTGGCTATTCGGGGTCTTTTGTGTTTCCATACAAATTGTGAACTTTTTTGTTCTAGTTCTGTGAAAAATGCCAGTGGTAGTTTGATAGGGATTGCATTGAATCTGTAGGTTGCTTTGGGTACTATAGTCATTTTCACAATGTTGATTCTTCCAATCCAAGAACATGGTATATTTCTCCCTCTGTTTGTATCATCTTTAATTTCTTTCATCAGTGTCTTGTAGTTTTCTGCATACAGGTCTTTTGTCTCCTCAGGTAGGTTTATTCCTAGATATTTTATTCTTTTTGTTGCAGTGGTAAATGCGAGTGTTTTCTTAATTTCGCTTTCAGATTTTTCATCATTAGTGTATAGGAATGCAAAAGATTTCTGTGAATTAATTTTGTATCCTGCTACTTTACCACAGATGGTGACTTTAAAGCAGTGTAAAAATATGTCATGGCGGGATATGTCCTAGGTACACATGGAATACACATGCATTCTGTGGTGGGCCTGATTGTAATGGAAAATGTGTCATGTAAGATGTGAAATGTGCTGTGGCAACCAGCCAGAGGAAGAAAAATACCCCAAAGAGAGAGAAATCCAAGGATGTGACATCCGTATCAATGGGGGATGAGTATCACAGTAATTCCTCAGAGCTAGGGCACGCTTTTTCCTCTTACCTTTGACATACTTGAAGTTGGGATATTTTACAGTTGATTGTTGCTGTCAGCCAGGTGGCAGGCATGACATGGCTGTCATCTCCTAAGCATGAGCAGACATCAAAAGAGCAGCACCACAACTTCAGGACTGGCATCCAGCAGCTTGAAGGAAAACCCTGCAGACAGAAGTGAAGCACTTTTTGGATGCAACTAGTCGTGCAGAGGGGCTTGGGGAGGAGTGACCAGACTTGCTCAGCCACATTCCCAAAGTGGGAGTCAGAAGCAGGCGGGCTCCGGAAGGTTGCAGAGCTGGCTTCTGTCTTGCAGTTCTTCTGTGGGTTGTTTAAGAAATGCTGCATGACCAACGCACCCCTGAAACACAGCCCGCTCTTGTGTGGAAAATCACGAACACGGGATGATTCAGAGTTGGAAAGCAGTGAGTGCCATTGGATTCTAAATGTGAAAACGTTTTGGAACGATCTTAACCGATTCACTTCACTTATATATTCCTTCCTAAATATGCACAATGGTGATAGATAATAGAATTTTGTCTACATCTAAAGGAGTTCTTTCAAAAATAATAAATTAAAAATTTGAAGTGGGAAAGAAAACACCGTGCATCGTTTAATTGGCAGCTTTTTTGCCCTTCCTTAGAGGTAACGAAATAATGGCGCATCTAATAAAGGGCATCTTAGAACTGATGAAATACGGTAGCCTGTTGTTACAAGGGGGGAAGCAGGAGTTTTGTTGAGGCCCTGAAAGGCTCTGCATGTGAAGGGGCAATGGATGTCACAGGTGACAGGCGGTTCAAGGCCCCTTTGAGGCTGCCCATCCCCAGAAGGAGGGGCGAGGTGGCCCCTGCAGACAGCAAGCTGCTGGGGAGTTCCCAGCTACCCTGCAGACTTCTCCTGGTACAACTGCCCAGGCAATGTATTCCAGGAGAAAGGGCACGAGGGTACAAAATGTACTTAGGAATGGCCTTTGCATCCTAACCTATGTGTTATGTAATGTATATGTGTATTGTGTACCTATGTTTATACACATGCATACTCATTTATGTATACATGTATGTCCTATATAGATCTGTGTATATATATGACACGATTCACATAAGCTCATACACTTGCACACTCACAGACGCATTGTTTGATATGCAGTTTTTCACAAATAGATCAGCTCTTTCTGTGTAAGTACATATTCTGTATAACACCTTTGTATGTGATTGCACAGGATTCTTTTTGTGGATTTATGCGGGTTTAATCACTCGTATCATTAAATGATTTCTTCTCGCTACTTGAGGAGCATCCTCATGGCCAGGTTGTGTGCAGATCTGTAACTTTTTGTTAACTGGATCGTCGTGGGTGCCTATTTGTGGTTCATACTTGGCATGGATCACAGGCCTGTTGTTGCCCACTTACTGTGTTTCGTAAATGTGTGCAGGTTAAAGGGCCAACATAAGGGTTAAGATGGGGGTTATGGGTTTGATATGAAGCTTAAGCTCTAGAACCACCCATTCCTGGCTGATAGCCTTGGGCTAGGTGTCTTAACCTCTCTGGACCTTAGTTTCCTCCTTTGTAAATTGAGTCTATGACATGTGCTTTGTAGGATTATTGAGGTAATAACATAAGGTGTATCGAGTGCCTGACACATGGTAACCCCTAAATCAGTGTCACTCCAGCTTGGAGGGTGGGGGAGGGGGGTAGACAAAAACGCCATGTTAATTCAGTCCCAAAGTTCTGAGAGATGATCGAGCCCTACATAAAAATGCTGCTGTTATTGACTGTTAATGCCTCTGGTCCTTAGTTTTCACGGGTGGACCAAAATAAAGGCAAGGAATAGAATGGTATCTACTCTGTAAGTACGTCTGGCTTTGTGGGCATGACTTGTGCAGTTGCCCAGGGCCCTGCACTTAGTTTAATGCTCTGCTGTCACCTTCTTGGAATTTTTAATTTTGAATAGAGGCTCAATATTTTCCTTGTGCACTGGGCCCCACAGATTAGGTAGCCAGTCCCGCCCATAAGGTTGGCGTGGGTGTGCAATGAGAGCTCAAGAAATACTTACTGTAGTACTCGGGATGTAATAGGGCTCCATGATTACTAGAGGGCTAAATTCTTTTCTTTTTACGAGCAGAGACAGTCATGATAAGTGCACTGTAGATGTCATTTCCTTTCGTTGTTAGAACAGTATGAGATAAATCTTCAGTTAATCTCGATGTACAGGTAAAGAGACTGAGGCCCAAGCGCTTAAATCACCCACTAAAATCACACAGCTTAGAAATTCAGAGCTGGATTCAAACCCAAAGTTTCTCCCAAAGCCTACCCCATTGACCTGCGCTATGAATATTAGTTCCCTCCCTCCCCCCCTCTCTCCCTCCCCCTCCCTCCCTCCCCCCCCCTCCCTCCCCCCCTTTCTCCCTCCCCCTCCCTCCCCAAGGAACTTCTCTGTAAAACCCAGTGTTTAAGTGTCCTTGATACCCATAGGCAGCCCAAGCCTCATCCCCAGCAGAGGTTTCAGGACCCCTCGAAGATGATCCAGAATTCCCCTCCGACCTGGAACCTGCTGGTTACAGCAGACAGGACAGCCCCTCTTCTCATTCTCAGTCCTGTCCCATCCTGTTCCCAAAGCCTGCCCAGCATCACTGGCTCGGAGTTTTTAGCTGGTCCAATCTGACAGCCTGGGGACAGTTCAGCTTGATGTGCTTAGCTTCTGACGGCTGCCATCCAGCTGAGACCTCCAGACCACCATGAGAATCAGTGGGAGATCTGCCAGCGTCAGGTCCTGGGGGAAAGAGGCTGTGGGAGATGCCTTTTTTCAGGAGACCGAGGATATGGCCATCTGTCCTATGGCAGGGAGCCCTGGCTGTCCTACGGTGCCAGGCCGTGATTTGCTCCACCCACTCTTTTCCCTGCCAGAAAGAGAAGAGAGAGAGAGAAGATCCATTCCAGTACACTGCTAATAAGCAGGTATACGGCTTGGTGTGGGACGGCTCTGGGGCAGGTCTGCTTACAGTGTGTGGCCTCTGAGCAGGGAAGTCCATACCTGAGCATTTCATCTCTTGGATAACTGGATTTGAATTTTGAGTGTGACAATGCGACTGTTTGTTGTTTCAAAGCAATTCCCTAAGTGGCTGTTTGCTCAAGACTTTTGTAGTGTGAACAGAGATTTGGGGGAGGGGAAGAAGCCATCTGTTCTGGAACAGTCTTCCAATTACATGATCAAATTACTGCAGAGCAAAATGGAGGGAGTCCAACAGAAAGTTCCTGTCTGGTGCATCCAGTCCCAACCCGCTCCGCTCTCTCAGGCCATTGTGTTGACGTGGAGACCCACATGCAGCTTTCAGAGGCCAGGCCCAATAACTAGGCGTACAAATAGCAGGCCAGCAGAGAAAGCCAAGGAGGAGAGAGTCAGGGGGAGCTTTCCTACCTCCTCACCGTGCCATTCAGCCCAAGTGAAACCATCTTGAATTTGAATTAAAAAGTGAACCTTTTCCTTGCTGGAGAGATACACGTCTTTGATTACCATTAGTTTTATCGTCTCCAATGAAAAAGTCACATTCCTTTATAAATTAGATTCATGATTTTTATTTGTTGATATTCTGTTTGTATTTAGAGTCTTCAATCTATTTATCTCCCTTAAAATTTGAGAACTGTGTTCTTGTTTCTGAAATGTGGGCTGTCTCAATTTGCAAAAACATCCTTGGGTCTTATTTTTTCCTCTAAATATGTGTGGGTTTTTTTTTTTTTTTTTTCCTTTTCTTTTCTTTTTGCTATTAGGCATTCATGCAGCCTCACTTGCTGGGAAATGAGTTCACACATTTGGAGTTTCCAAGGAGAGTACAGAGAAAGGAACTTGGGAAGAAGATGCTCTACAGGGATTTTAATATGACAGGCTGGTAAGAACACGCCTCCCTCTGCCTTGGCACTGCTGCAGCGTGTGTGAAGGAAGCGCCACTCCCGCACTTTGGATCAGGAGGTGCAGCCAGAGACCTGGGTTTGTGGGGAAGGAAAAGGGGCTACGCCCACTTCTGCTGCTTTCGCCTGGGCGCCAGTTCTCCCATCTGGGTGTTGGTTTGCTTTTCTGCTCTCTGAGGCCCTCCTTGGGGACACTAGACCCACGAAGCTGATGTAATTCCTCACTTCATACAGAGCAAGCGTTGGGGGGCTTTTAAAAACACATTAGACTTGGGTTTTTAGGTTAGGGTTACTAAAGGGGTAGCGGGGCTCAGAGGAATGAACCAGAGCTCTGTTTGGCCAGACCAGTTTAGATTTGAATCATAACTCTGACCTTTCTGAATAGGCAAAGTTGGATAAACTACTTAACCCCTATGAGTGCCATTTCCCATGAATAAAGTGAAAAGAATACTCTTTGAAGGGTGATTGTAAGCACCAGAGGTAATGAGCTGTCTTCATGATTTCATCACATTCATATCGAAATAAGAACTCGTGGCAAGGGGCATCTTATTCCCCAAACACACCGATATAGGGCACCAAAACCGTTTGTGTGTGTCAGTAGCTAACACTGACTAAGACCTCATCGGTTTCTTCCAACTGAAAAACAGATATGATGATAAAGTACTTAAATCTCATAGGGTTGGTGTAAGGATGAAATGAGAGAGCAGTGCCCGGCACAAGGAAGTGTGGGTGAAGATTTGCTCTAGGCCCTGCGATCTTGACCAGGGAGGCTCCTGCCACGCTGGAGGTCAGCAGAAGGAAACAGTGGCCTCTTTCCTCACCACGTCCCCAACACAGGTGACAAAGTCAATTCCACTATCTCTTCTTCTTTGACCGGAATAGCTATAACAGATGGTCACAGCCCAAATTCCCATGGTGATGACTTCTAGGCTGGGAATCTACTCCTAGGGTACGTACTGTCTTAAAGAGACAGTCGAGCCACTCGGGAGGATCAGAGGCTGATCTAAGGCACGTCCGGTTGTCCTTTGCCATCTGAAGAGAAGGTCCTCACCAGTATCCTCTCTTCTTCTAGAAAAGGGTCAGCAAGTTACGGCCTGAGAGCCAAATTCCACCCCCCACCCCTTTCGTAAATAAGTTTTAAAAGTACAGCCACGCTCATTTGTTTATGTTTGATCTGTCACTACCTTCACACAACAGCAGGGCAGTTGAGTGGTTGCAGCAGAGCCTAAAATATTTACCCCTGCTCTAAAACGTGATCGGATTTATCGGAAAGGGTTCACCATATTTGCGGCTCTGAGTTCTGCAGTTTTGTTGCCCCAGACTGGGTTTTCTCGCAAATTCATATTTATTCAGTCAGCAAAGTCAGCACTCCTTACAGAAAAGTTTAAGGTGAGGGATTGTGTAATTCAGAAAACCGTGGCAGAGTTTGGTCTGGTTTTTGTAGAATTTGGAAAGATGGAAGGAAAGGCATCCCAGGGTAGGAACGCACGTGGCTGTAAACACAAACCAAAAGAGCAGATCTAAGAGACAGCGCGGGAAATGGCCAAAATTGGGGGGGTGGGGGGGCGGCTGTGGGAAATTAGGCTGAGTTGGTACCGAGGGAATGTATCAGAATATGGGAAGCCAGGCAGAGACCTTAGGATCTACTGTGGGAGGCTGCACGTCACTCTTGTGTGTTTCGGCGGAGAATGAAATGATGAGAGCGATGTTGTAGGAAGCTTGCTGTAAGAGGAGTTTGAAGGAGACTGACCAGGAGAGAAAGCAGATTCAGGTACCCAGAGAAAAACTGTCACAGCAATATGTACGTGAGATCCCTAGAGCCAAATAGAGGGCTGGAAGCAGAAAGCAGAGAAGGCACGGAAATGAACAAGAAACCAGATGACTTAGGCCGAGGGATGAATGTAAGAGGTAAGTCATCCATTACTCGAATTATACTAGTATGTAAGCCCCCTGTGGGGCAGCCCAGTGCCTCGTCCTGTGCCCGACATGTAGTCGACAGGCCGTGTTTGTTTATTGGATGAAAGGAAGAAGAGCGCGCTCCACGGAAGTTGATGGGGGGCAGGCCGATGTGTAGGTGGTCAGTGGGAAGGGTAGGAATGAAGAGAGCCTGCACACGAGCCATGGTGTGCTCGAGGCAAGGCCGTTTGTATGTTTTTTCTATGCCAAAAAGGCAAATGAGATCTCAGCAGTCAAAACCAACTTGGTAAACAAATGGCTAAAGGTTACCCCTTTTTACAGTTTTTTAAAATGCAGTTAAGTTCAGGGATTAGATTACATCCAATGGTAGACACACACAGTTACTCTCTCTTTTGCTCTCTCTCTCAGGTACGTGCACACAAACACACATTAGCAGGGTCTTCAGCGAGTAAATAGCCCATAAACGGGCTCTCTTTAATGGTACGGAACTCCACAGAAGGTACCGAATTAACTGAGAAGCCAAGACTGAGAATGGCTTCAGTCAGACATGATTTGCTCATTTGTTGCAGCAAAGTTCCCTGCATGGCTGTTGGCTCACAGCTTCGGCTGCGAGCAGAGATTGATGTGCGTCTTTGTGTATTTCCTATCTGTTGTTACTTATGATTTGAAAGTGATGCTTAAGGAAAAGGAGAGCTGTTTACATCTTTGTTGGAAGAAGCTGGGAAGTTTAAAGCCAATGTAGACCACTGCCTATGTAAACCCCACCCCCCCCCACACACACCCCTCCCAACTTTAATGAGTTCTTTTAAAAAATGTGTTTTTTTTGTTTGTTTCTTTGGTTTTTTGCGGTACACGGGCCTCTCACTGCTGTGGCCTCTGCCGTTGCGGAGCACAGGCTCCGGACGCGCAGGCTCAGCGGCCATGGCTCACGGGCCCAGCCGCTCCACGGCATGTGGGATCCTCCCGGACCGGGGCACGAACCCGTGTCCCCTGCATTGGCAGGTGGACTCTCAACCACTGCGCCACCAGGGAAGCCCTAAAAAATGTTTTTAACCTCTAACAGAAAACCTCAAATCTAGCAGTTATTTTTTAGGACTGAAGAAACATGGGCTCCCAATTTCCTACTTGTCTGATTTGTGTATAGAGAGAGAAGGGCTGGCAAATGGATCAGCAGGGGCCCTTTTCCCACAAAAGCCTCCAATTACTACCAAGCTCTTGGGATTGGTTGAAGGTGGACTGGTGAGTATTGGCAGTGTGTCACGCTCAAGGAGACAGATAAGTCCTTACCTCGTCCCTCCTTTACGTTTCTTGCCTTCCGAATTAGCCTTGGCCTGTGAGCTTGTGTCTCTGAAACCTTTCTAACAAATAGGGGTTCACCTATTGCCAACTGTTGAACCCTTGTAGCAAAGACCTAGTTGTGGAAATGTTTATCTGCCTGCTTGTCCCCCACTAATCGTGGGGCTAGCTGACAGTGAGTGGGAGAGCTAAGGGCCAGGCACTGTGATGAGACCTTTACATGACTCTTCATGTTGAACAGTCCTAGGAACTAGGTACATTTTACAGATGAGGAAACTGAGGCACAGGGACCGAGTTGTTCAAGGTCACACAACTAGTGAGAGGAGAAGCCAGTCTGCGACCCCAGACAGCCTCACTTCAGGCTGAACTGCCAAATGCCCAGTGATTCCTCCTCCCTTGTTCCATTTTGCAGTTGAGCAAATCGGGGCTCAGAGGGGATTAAGTGGTTTACTCAGCTTCCACTAGTGCAAAAATGTCAGAATAACCCAGGTTTCTGACTTTCAGCCTGGGGCTCTTTCTGATACAATGCATCAACTTTTTTTTTTTTTTTCGGGTAAGATCAGACATAATTATTCAGTTCTGAGCTGCGATGGAAGTTTAAGCAGGGGACCTCCATCTACCAGGATCAGTGTCTCCTTGACAGTCCTTTAGAGGACAAGAGGATGGAATGAGGCATTTCAGGAGCTGCTGAGGTAGTAACTTTTCTACTTCCCAGTCTGACCTGATGGACCATCAGCCAAATTAAACAGTGATGCTTCCCACTCGTCACTAAAGTCTGTGCGTGGACTGGGGCCACGTGGTGATGATGGGGAAGATCCCCAAAGAACCGAATCTCCTTTACTTAGGAAAATCGATCGCTCTCATTAGAGCAGCACCCTGCCAGCTTTCTGCGGTGCGTCTGCAGCCCAGCCGGGAGGCAGTGAGGGGGAGGGCGTGGGCTCTGGGAAGCCTCTCATAATTAAGGATGAGTCTGTTGCCTCCTGACGGGGATCCTTTCTCTCCCCCACCCTCACGCTTTCTCGGAGACTGGAGCAGCTTGGCAGGCCCAGGTTGCACAGAGGACAAAAGGTTATCGCCACCAGGACCTTCCTAATGAAATCCGTCTCTCACCTGGCTCCTAACCCTGACCCTTTCCCAGCCTGCTCAGGGAGTTGACACAGTGGCTTGATTCACAAAGGCATTTTCTAACAGCGCCCCCAGTGCTGAGTTGGTCCCCGACGCATCCCAGCTCTCGCTTTCTGTGCCTGGTGTCATTGGTCCTGGCGCCAGAGCTCTGGTCTTGGACTCGGCGCGAGCCGCTGCCCTTCCTCCCTGGCCCTTTGTGTGGAGCTGCTGTTGCAGGATGCACACTGGCTGGCGTTACGAGCAGAGCGTCCAGACCCACGGCCCTCTGAGCCGTCTCAGGCCATAATTTGCTGGCAGGCGTCTGTGTTACCGGGCTGCAACAACAGTTTCTCACAGCTGGCTTTGTGGCACCAAGTCCCTGCTCCTGTGACCGCTGGTGATTTCGCCTTCTCGTGAAGGATCTGTGTTCTTCGTGCTCTGTGTCCAGCCGCGTGGGGTGATGAGCAAGCCGGAGCCCCGGCAGGACAAGGGAGGGCGCTGTAGCTTCACCCCTGGCGTCAGGCCAGATTCTCCAGCAGCTGTTCCTGGGCTGATGGGATTTGTTGAGAGCGAGGGCCAGAGACGACGAGAAGTCCATCGTGTGAATGCAAGATTGCTTCCAGATGGTTCTGGTTAAGAGGAAAGTACACCAGAATTCTTTCTT